TTCCCAAATTAAATTAAAAGAAAAAAAACTTACCAAACATTAAAAAAGGATATCCCGATAGAAGATCGCTATAATTGCAAAGCTTTCTTTTTTTCCATTTTACCAGTCCTAAAACTGCCCACTACACTTAACTTCACTACAATTCTTAACAACACTTGATTATGTCACCTGAGGATCCAAACTTCCAAAATCCCTCAAATGCTGAACCATACTCACAGATCACAGAGTTTACACTTGATAATGGTCAGCGATCCTTCTGACTGAAAAGTTGGGTTAATCAAAATATTTAAAGATAATGGAAGTCCGAAATTCGGTATACCCGAAATTCTTTTATTTTCAATATACTCACAAAGGTTCGAGCATTCGTGATCTTCGTGCCCCTTCACCTGCAAGGAGGAAGTATGCAAAATTCACACTTTAGGCAGAGTTTAGAAGCATATCCACCTTCTTCGGATTTGTATAGGCTATCGCGATTTACCGATACAGATTACCGACACAAAAATATGCACTAACGAACATTTTAAACACAATCTCCGATAACTTTCTGGAGTTTTAAAAGCTCGATACTATTAGAACGATTTCTGATAGTCGAACAGTCGAACGTGCTGAACATCTTATTTATTAATTTAACTCAAATCGATAAAAACCAAACCAAACCAGCGATAGAATAATGGATTAAGCTTTTTTTGTGAATGGAGTATTGGCACTGTGGCGTGCAAGGCAAGTCGTATTAGACGGGAGCGGTAGAGGGCCCTAGTGCCCTTAACGGTATTTACGATTTCTCGGGGGTTCCCAAAATAACTATATGGATAACTTTCTGGAATTTTAAAAGCTCGATACTATTAGAACGATTTCTGATAGTTGAACGTGCCGATCATCTTATTTATGAACCAAAATTAAACTCAAATCAATTAACCAGCGACATCTATAGAATAACGGATTAAGCTTTTTTTTGTGAACGGACAATCGGCACCGTGGCGTGCAAGGTAAGTCGTATTAGACGGGAGCGGTAGAGGGCCCTCGTGCGCTTAACGGTATTTACGATTTCTCGGGGTTCCCAAAATCATCCAAAGAATGTAAACAAACCAAAATCAAGGTATGTTGTACGTGTCTCGCTTAAAGTTTTGGCACTTTTGGTGTAAAATTATTATGTGAAACATTTTAAATAATATTTTGCAAGTGATAGATTTGTGATGTTCAGATTAATAGATATTTGGAGTATATGTGTAATGGTATATTTTGGATAAAAACACTGATTAATTTTCATCAAAAGGGTAAGCTCTAACTTAATATTTAAAGATTATAATTGTCGATTGAAACGATTAAAAAAATGTCCTAATAAGGCGAAAAAAGAAGCTCTAATAATTTATTTTTTCAGCCCACTCAACTGTAAAAAGTACCTAAAACATTGCGCGTTTTCCTAAAATTTGCATAGCAATGTCCACTAATATGAATAAATTTAGTTTTAGTATTTTTCTATAGAAACTTATGGCGGGTTTATACAACATAATCGTAAATACGTGACTACAATTGTGATTATGATCACAATTTTAGTCACAATCATAAAAGTTAAAACCATTATTTTAGATACGACCGTTTATACATCGCAGTCGTAATCATAAGCATAATTTAATAACCTTGAAGTTCGTAAATTATAACTTTTTTGATTGTGATTACAACAAAAATCGGTTATGGGGCATTATTTTTTTTTATTTTAATGTTTAATTATTATGATAATTTTCGTGTTTAAAAAACCTGAGTAATTAAATTTAAACAAAAATACACTTCTAAAATGATTATAAAATAGAAAAATAAGAAAATTAGGTTATTTTACCAACTGTATTTACATTCCAAGTTATGAATGCGACTATTTTGTATAAACGCATATTTAAATTGTGATTGTGACTGTGCTTATGCTTAAGACTAAAATTATGATTACGATTACGACTATGTTGTGTAGCTCATTAAAATTACTGTGAATTTATAAACATGTGGATAAAAAAGAATGTGGGCATAGTGTGAAGTGGCAACATTGCATTCTCTCCGAGATTCTCTCTATGCACAGTAAACGAATTTCCGGAGAGGGAACAGTGGCACTGAAAAGTTTTTCAACATTTTCCGGAAAGTGTCAAGAAAAATTTAAAATTATCAACATTTTTTTTCGCAAAAAAAACCTCTTAGGTGTGTTTCCGTGGTTGAACTATACTACCAGTTAAAATATTCGCACTCATTTCTGGGATACCCTGTATAAATATAATTGAAATTGAAAAAGAATGATATATTACCATAAAATAACCAGTTGAAAAGCATCTATAAAAAGTGTTTTCTTTCTGACTGGAAGAAATTTAAATGTGTAGAAAATAGTGTGTCTAAAAATGATCATATTCAAAAATCACTCAGGACAGATTATGACATGGTACTATTTTTCAAAAGCGGATTTTATGAAAAATCCGTTTTCCAGTTTAAATCAATACAACTTTAGAGTTAAAATACATTTGCTTCACCTGTATGAAAATATGTTTGAAATTGCCTATGATATTGACTATTGCCCGCATATATTACAAAAGAGCATAAAAACGCTCCTATGTCTTTTTTAGGACACGGTCACATTGTATATAGTGTGTTTCAAAAAATATGTGCCCTCCCTCGTGGGAAGATTCCTCACGTAAAAATTAGATTCGGATTTAACATGTATTGTGTTCGATTCTGATTTGTTTCATAGCTACAGGAGGTTAGTCTTTTTTTTTCGGTTTATCATAATTTTCTTCCAAGTGCTTTTGCGACTCGAATTGAATTTGGATGGTAAAAGTTACTATGACTGCTCAATCACAATTAATGAAATTAAAATGAAAACACAATTAATAAATTATTTATTTAATGTAATTTATTACTAAATCTCATTAAAGTTTATAACACTGTTACAGTGTTACCTACAGAAAATTCCCCCAAAACAATAATGGTATTTAAGATAATTACAAAAGGCAAAATTAATTTTAACATCGTGTAACTTTAAAAATATGCATTTCCGCATTCAAGTTTATAGGAACTTTCCATATTTTTTTATTAAGAATCAATGAGTATTTATTTAACATTTTGGCAAGTTGATGGCATTAATTTTTTTAAGGTTGTTGTTAAAATTGATTTTGAATTGATTTTGATTGGTTTGAATTGGACAAATTAATTAAATTGCGTTTATCTTGTCAAGAAGACCGAAATCGACAAAATATCAAGAGACAACTTTTAATCAACATTTAACAGTCTACACAATTTTGCTAACAAAAGTCAGTGGTGCACATATTTTTTTTTAATATTCCAATGATAACCCATATGCACGTCCCTGGTGAATATCTCGACACTTTTTTAGCATGTCCTCGAATATGTCGCACTTATAGTAACTTTTACCCTCACAATTTCATTCGAATCGCTAAAAGCACTTGGAAGAAAATTATAATAAATAAAAAGATAATTATTGGGAAAACTGGAAATCGTCAGATTTTCACCAAAATTGGTATACACCCTATTTTGAGGTCGTAGATTACGAATCTGAACTTTTTTCTTGGCGGTCTCTTGCCGTTTTTCAGAAAAACGGAAAATTATTTCAACATTGAATTTTTCTTTATTTCGGCCCTATAAAGTAATAATTTCACTATATTTTCATTATATTATAGTTTATGTAAAAGCTACAGTTGATTGGGGAGAGAAAAATGTCCAAAATTTTACTGAAAAACACTTTTCTTAACAAAATAACAAAGAAAATTGAGACCAGATGGAAGTTTGACATTTGATATATCCTTCTTTCTCTCTCCTATGTAATGAAAGAGACAAATATAGTTTAGACCTAATCTAGAAATTGGAAAATTTACAACGTTGCCATATCTTCTATTTTTTCGGGTAATTAGGGATTTTAAATAAATTACCTATTATGAGATCGACAATAATTAAATATACCTACCTATATCCACACACGGAAGTTTTGATTGCATTGGTTTCAACTTCTATGAGGAGGGGGTTAATCATTTTTTTGTTATATTATATTCATAACCACGAAGTTGCAGGAAAGAGTTTTGATTGCATTGGTTACAACTTCCATGCGGAGGGTGTTAATCTTTTGTTGTTATATTATATCAAAAAAAGATTAACCCCCTCCGCAAAGTAATGAATAGTAAATACTATTTATAACCACGAAGTTACACGAAAGAGTTTTGATTGCATTGGTTTTAACTTCTTTGCGGTGGGGGTTAATCTTTTTTTGATATAATATAACAACAAAAGATTAACACCCTCCGCATGGAAGTTGTAACCAATGCAATCAAAACTCTTTCGTGCAATTTCGTGGTTATAAATAGTCAGATCTCGTTGGTAAAATAGCAATTATGGGAAGGAGCCGTTCTTCTGGCGACCGCCTTTCGTAATCCCAGAATGAGCGAAAAAACAAGCTAAATTTAGGTTTAGCATTGGCAACGTTGCTTTAAATGCCAGAAACACATAACCCAACATTCAGATTGTTTACAAATTTATTTTAGCAAATTTTCCTCTATTATGCATAGAATTGTTTAAAAAAGTAACATAAAATAGCAAAAACATCATTGTTTATTGAATACCTAACAAAATATGTGCTAGAAAACATTAAAAATATGAGAAATTAAGAAAAATTCGATGTTAAAATAATTTTCCGTTTTTTCTGAAAAACGGTAAGAGACCGCCAAGAAAAAAGTTCAGATTCGTAATCTACGACCACAAAATAGGGTGTATACCAATTTTGGGTGTATACCAATAATTACCAATAAAAAAAGATGAAGAATTAAACTCTCTGTAGCTACGAAACAAAGCAGAATCGGACCTATGTTAATATGAAAAATAAATCTTATTCTTATGTGATGAATCTCCCCACGAGAGATGGCACATATTTTAGAAGCACTCTGTATAACGGGTTAAAGTAATTAAAGAGGCACAATATCTGATTTAGGTATAATTCCTTTGCTAACAATAAATTTACTTACTTTATTAATGAATCAATATGATTATACTCGAGATGATCTTTTAAGTTATCTTTTTTTCTATATTTCTTGTCACAGTGTGCACAAGCAAATAACTGTCGTTCTTCCGGCGCTAAGTGAATATCTCTGTGCTTGTTAAGACTTGATTTATGTCGTGTTTTAAAGCCACACAGGGTACATCTATAAACATTTTTCTGCGATCTCTTCACCCTAATAAAATAATATTTAAATATTAGTCTCTTCACCCTAATAAAATAATATTTAAATATTAGATAAAACAGGGTTTATCAAACATATAACCACAGTATAAAGAAACTATTGGCTTTACTCATCGTCAAATTCTTTGTGATCACGTGAATCCCTGATTACGAATAAACTATAAAAATCGCGTGATCCCTGACTACGAATAAAGTTTCCGAGTCCCGCGGTCGACACTCATACTGATCAGTCCCAACTGGTGCTGGATCCCAACTTAGATACTCTACATGCTGTCGAATTTTGCCCAACAATTTGAGAAAAAAAACTTGAGAATTTTTGTAAGTGCAAACCTAAAGTATGTTTGAGGATGTATTTCAGGAAAATATTTTAACTTCTATAGGGTGGCTCAAGAAAGTGTTAGTAGACCGGGATGATTTTTTCAATGGAACACCCTGAATATTATTGCATTCTTAGCTTTCTTTCAGTTCACTTTACATAATCCTATAATATGAGTAAATATATTTCAATAGTTTCAGAGATATTAATAAAAAAATTAAAAATATATATATTTTCAGCTTTTCTTAAAAAAATTAGTTAAAATACAAGAACTGTCCTGAAATCAAAACTATATTAGGTATTTGATTTAGATGGTCTATACTTACTTTGCTATAAATATAATAATAATAATAGCTCCAGTATATAGCGTTTAACGCCTTGGGAGTAGCAAGGTACAGCTTGCCATGCTAGAGCCGTTCGGTACACAAGGAAGGTAATGTTGCTAGCACTACGCTTCAACCGCCTATTATTACCTCAGGATTGTAAATCCCAAGTACTCATTTAAGGCTGAGTCGACCTAGGTACCCAAACTATTTTTATTTTAATAAAAATAGTCGACTGATAAAATGCCGGGTGTAGGATTCGAACCCACTACCTTGAGATTGGTAGACGAGAGCCTGTACCTCTAAGCCACAGGGCACCTTGCTATAAATATCATAATCTTAAATCATATAGGGTTTTTAAAATTCTACGCCAAACTTTGTGAAATATAAAATAATTTTTCTTTGTTTTTTTTAATGGAACACCCTCTATATTATTTGTTATTAGATGTTAGAGAGTTAAAAAATACACATAAATACAACATTTTCTGTACATAAAGTACATATTTCAAAATTTTTGATGGTTTCGCAAATACACGCAGTATTATTTCATATGGCTCTTTCAACGGTAAAATTCGAGAGAAAATATTAGGTGGCTTTGATAAAAATTTACTGTGGAAAATGCCATATGAAATATAAAACCGCGAATATTTGCGAAACCGTTAAAAATTTTGAAATACTCTAAATACAAATAATGTTCATTTGTCAATTCTCCATCTACTGGAAAAATAATATACGATGAAAAATTATTTTGTATTTTAAAAAGTTTGGCGGAGTTTTTTGAACATCCTGTATGATTTTCGATTACCATATTTATAGCAAAGTCAGTACAAACCATATAAAGTAAATACCTGGTATATCTTTGATTTCAGGACAATTCTTGTATTTTTAATATTTTTTTTAAAAAAAGGCTAAAATATATATGTTTTTTATTTATTTATTAATATCTCCGAAACTATGGAAATATGTTTATTGATATCTTAGAATTGTGTAAAGTGATTTGAAAGGAAGCCAAAAATACATTAATATACAGGGTGTTCTATTTAAAAAAAATCATCCCGATCCACTCACACTTTTTTGAGCCACCCTATAGAAGTTAAAATATTTTCCTGAAATCCATCCTAGAACATACTTTAGGTTTGCACTTCGTTTGCAAAATTTCCAAGTTTTTTATTCTATGAGCCACAGATGCCCGACGCAATATTGCCAGACCATGTATGTGAAATTTAATCTTTCCCCCAAAATATTTACTTTATGTCTAGTAGGATAGTCATGTCTATCATTTAAATGAAGAAAAAAATCTTTAATATTATACAGGGTCGCTGATATGTATGGGAACGGTCGATTATTAAAAAAGTTTTAAACATTTCAAGGATTGCTGAGTTTTTTGGAAAAAACGGTGTTAAGGCCTCATTGTTAAAATTATCAAAAAAACTGGCAACATTGTCTAGAACGTCATCCCTTTCGTCCTCTTCTGGTCCTCTTCAACCAACATGGCGAACTAGACTAGACGTGCTTCATGTCGATCCGTCAAAAAGTAAAAATAAAAGGTGTTTACAGCCCTCTTTGGGTTTTATTACCCCATACAAAACAAACGGATTTTTTTGAAAATCAATTTTATTTTTTCCTGGTGTTACTTTTTAGGAAATCAAAAAACTAATTGCACATTCTCATGGCTACTTTATTAGGGCTATCTGATAGTATTTTTAGATTTTTAATAAATTGCTAATCAAATTAGCTGATAATTTGTGAGATACAGAGGACAACTTAATTTTTTTAAATACGGACCTGCATTTTTTATTTCAGATTTTGAAAGAACTCGGTTTCCTGAGTACAATGATATGCCACAATTAACATTTTTTTTTTGTTTTTGACATTTGAACACAATTTAATTAAACTAATGTTAAGTCCGGCTCTGTTTTTTTAAATATTTAATCTATTCATCGTTACAATATTGGTAAGCTTTCAAACTTAACAATGACGTGGAGCAAAACATTGAATACGGATAATCAAATGCAATTAAATAATATAAAATTATTGGGCATTACTTGACGTCATTTTTAAAAGTGAGGATACATTTCAACATTACAATAAAGAGTACAGAATACATTCGGAAGTATAAGAAGAAGATATTATGTTCAAAGAGCTATAAATAAGATTGAACGAAAAATACATTAATTTAATTAGGGACGGTGGTAACCCTTTCGAACATGTAGAGCACTACTAGTTTTAGAAAAACTAGTTTGTGTGTGTAGAAGTTGATTTATTTATAATAACTACAATTAATATTAGGCATATTATTAGATCGTACACTGAGATTTCAAAATCACAATAAAAAAAGTTATAAATAATATTTTTAAATTGCTGACCTGGGTATTACTTGTTTGAATCTTTCAATTGTCCAGTTATTCACTTAATTAGCGCTGATCCATATTGTTTTAAAAAACTAGAGTGGGACTTGAAATTATTTTAAATAATAATTAAATAGTTTTGTTATTGTTAAGGTACATAAAACAAAAAAAAATATAAAGTGTGGCATATCATTGTACTCAGGAGATCGAGTTCTTTCAAAACTTCAAATAAAAAATGCAGGTCCGTATTTAAAAAAATTAAGTTGGCCTCTGTATCTCACAAATTATCAGCTAATTTGAAAATCTAAAAATACTATCAGATAGCCCTAATAAAGTAGCCATGAGAATGTGTAATTCATTTTTTAATTTTCTAAAAATTAACGCCAGGAAAAAATAAAATTGATTTTCAAAAAAATCGTTTTTTTCCAAAAAACTCAGCAATCCTTGAAATTTTTAAAACTTTTTTGATGGCATCTTGGTGAACATCCTAAAGCGCAACTTTGCCCCAATTTAACCATTTTCGTTTCGACTAAACGAGTTTAATTCGTTCGACTAAACGAATTTAACCATCTCTTACGGTTTCCGAGATACCAATGCTCGTACCTCGAATTAGTAGCACCCTGTATAGTGCTTCTCACTTCTCACCCTTCTAGTAATAGTCAACATTTTTGACATGTTCTACACCCTTCGGGGTATTTGTATGTAACTTATATTATTATACTTAGAACTAATAAACTATATCTATCTATACACTCGTATAGATAGATAATCCTTTATACAGCATTTAGAATAAATAATAATTTTAAACAATAACTTGGTAGATTATATTGGTATACCCCGTATTTATCAGTAATTTTTATACCTAATTAATATGATATTTATAGATTTTTTTAAGCTAATATCAAATTACATATGTATGTTTGCATTAAATGGAGTTATTTAAATAAATTATATAACAAATAAAATTAACTGAATTTAAAAGAATTACTGGGTGAAGACCTCCACGGCGCGTTTGCTTTGAAATACCGCCAGTCGACGGGAAGGACGCGTCGACCCATTCACATGGCGCGGCGCGTGGCGCGTATTTTTTGTTTCAGGCTCGACGATCCACGCGCCGTGTAACTGCACATATACCCGGTCCGTGTCCCGAAGATCGTCGCACCAAGCCAATCACACACGGAGTGCGGCGCGAAATTTTTTGTTTCAGGCTCGGCGAACCACGCGCCGTGTAAAGGCACCTTGAGAAAATTATAATTTTTAAGAAAAATTTTGAGTGCCAGTTATAATTGTATAATTAACACACCCTGTAGAAATCTTATACTTTATATTCATCAGCACTTATGTTCATATTTAAGCCGCTGCACGACGCAGGCACAGGGTTCCTTCAGAATCCATCAACGCGTATTGTACTCCCGCTTGTTTAATAAATGTTTTTAAAAACATCTCCACAAAAACCTCAAAATTAACTGGCGCAGTCGGTAGGATTGTAAGATAGACCGTCGGAGTGAACCGAAACGAAAATTCGCCCAGAATCGTCCGGATTTTCGCGGAAAAGTTCTCGTTCGTGTCAACGATTAATCGACAAACTGTCTGCGGAGTTTAATCAAGTGAAACCAGTGCAATATCGGAAGAAGAAGGTTCCAAGTCCTGGGGAACGAGACAAACATCGCCCAAGTACCTAAAGGAGCGGACGGAGGGACAAAAATCGCCCAAATTCCATAGATAACCTGTCTAGGGGAAAGAACAAAAATCGTCAAGTACCTACTAGAAAGAGCGGAAGGACAAAAATCGCCAGAAGCTCATAATTAAGAAGAAAACGAAAACAACGAGAAACAAAGCAACCAAACCACCCAGAAACCCCATGAAAAGTCACTTAATGTAAGTACCTTTCAAACTATCCTTTTAGCCCTAAGTATTTTAACCAATTTACCTTATTTTTAACTATAATATTAATACAAGTAAAATAAAAATTTTCAAATCATCCAGATTTTGATGTGCGAAAATT